GGTTTTTGGGCCAGAGTACAGGGAGACTCTTATTAAATTAATAAATAAAACACTTAAAATCGGGATTTATACGTCCCGACTTTTAAAAAATATTCAGGGAGATATTTTCTCAAAATCGGTACGAATGGTCACCGTATCCATACATGTCGACATTTCCTAGAGGGTAGTTGTTGCGAGAAAGTGGAGCACCAAACTATCAACATAACTCCGTAATCAATTGTGTTGCAAGGGCACAAAATGCTCTTCGGCGTATGTATATAGGTACATACAAAATATATGAATATGCATCTGCGAAAACTGTAATCATTCATTGTTTCAGATATCTATTCATGGAAGAATTTATAACGATACATATCGTCGTTTAGAGTACAAAACGGCGTTTAGTCATCCTGCAAAACCGCGTAACTGACATTTGCTGCCAAAAATCGGATTTGCTCTTGGCCCAATCCCTATCCATTCGTCCTGAAATATACTAGCCAAAAATGCGATTGCTTTATAAAAAAGAGAATCATCTTGAAATATGAGTGTCTTTACTCTCTAGAAAATAATTTATGCAACCTCACATACGCAGTTTTGCATTATCTTGATACGCGGTTTTGCGTTTTGTTGATACGGGGTTTTGTACTTTAAACGACGATATACATACATACATATGTATGTGCATATGTATACGCGCATATGAGTAATTAAATTTCAGAAATAAGTTTAGAAAACAGTTTTTAATCTTTACCAGCAAGATACATAGACATACTTACATATCGTCATTTAAAGTACAAAACGGCGGATCGTGGTTCTGTAAAACCTCGTAACTGACATTTGCGCCAAAAAAGATATTTACTCACCGGAAGCTCCTGGCATCGAGCCCTTATCCGTTCATACTACTATATCGATACTTAACCATAAGAAGAAAAGATAATCAGGGATAAAAAAGAGAACCGTTTTGAAAAAGTTTTCTCTCTCCTATAAAATTTTGGCAACCTCACAACCGAGGTTTTGCATTTTCCTGATACGCGGTTTTGTACTTTAAACGACGATATATACATATATGTGGCTCATTTCTGGCACACTCTTACAAACGACAGCGAGCGTTGGCCTAGTGATAAATTATTGACTATGGTCACTTAGGTTCTGCGGGGTTGCAAACAAAATCCTGTCACGTTGAAACCGCTACTAGGACAGATAAATTAGTTGCGTTCCCTAACTCGCAAAACGTTGCAAGAATTAACAGGAATTTACCAGGAAGCGTTCCCGTACTCGGTTCTCTGGCTTCTTTTGCCTTTTGACAGTTTTACAGGTTTTAACCCAGAAAAATTGGGGAACGCAAGTATTTTAAAACCTACTTGAGAAAACGGCCCTAAATCACTTTGCTTGTCAGCTTTGCATGACGTTCCCTGCAGCTTCGCATGTTTGCATGCATGTGGGGCCATACGAATCGGAACACTATTTACTTACATATACATATATATCTGTATATAAAAATACCCGTGCCATATACCTGCAAGAAACGGCTTGCCACCGAATTAACTGGAACGGTCTACCTTTAAGGGCCAGTTTTTCAGTGCACGGCCGTGGCCGGTTTAAACTGCTGTTCAATTTAAACTCAGTTTACTTAAACTAAGTTTAAACTGGCACTGAAAAACTAGCCCTAAGCCCAGTAAATGATTCCAATATGATTTCTCATGCATCCAAAACCTAGAACATAATATTCAGTACCAGGTTGACCGAGCTTTGCCCGGAGTGCATATACTTTTTAAAATTTTCAAGATTTGCATAGCTTTAAAAAATATTATAGAAATAAACAAAAAATTTAAGTGGAAACCCTATTCCGAAATACGCTGGAATGAATGGTACATATCTTGATCGTATATGTACTATGTATACATAAAAAGAATTTGATTGAAATTATGAAGCGTAGCAACCCTGATTTCTGACCAAAGTTCCCAACAATACCTTTCATTTGATATCCATATTGCGATGTTTTAGATAAATTGTGTAGAATCGAAAATAAGTGGCAACCTTACACTATTATCAAAATAGGTGGCAACCTTATTAAAAATATTTTTGAATTAAATATCTTTAAAATACATACCATTTGATACCCATATTATGATGTTTTAATCAATTTGTAACTAATTTCAAATAGGTAACCTTAATAATAGGCAACCTTATATGAGTCTTCTCGGAAATAATTCCTATTCAGATAACCTTAGAATCCAAAACATTATCTGTGTACAAAATTTCATCAAAATCGTTAGACCCGTTTCCGAGAACCCTATGGATATATATACATATATATATACAAGAATTGCTCGTTTAATATAATAAGATAAGATTTCTCGCTTCGATAGATTCAGTCCCAATTTCAGATGCTATTGATGTAAGTAGAGATTGTTGATTAACTTCAATAATTCATTTTCAGATCACATATTTAAACTGTACTTAAATTACCAATATTAGCTATTTAAATATGGGAGATGCAACTATTCAGCACAAAACGTAAACAAAAGGGTGATCTGAAAACCAACGAAAGTTAATTGGCATTTAAAAACAATCCAAAATTAAGCTTAAATTTTTATGAAATTTAAACCTCAAAAAGATTTTTATTTTTTAAATTTACAAACGAAAATAAAAAAGTATACATATGTACAAGTATAACCCTAGCTAGTTTAGAGTGCAATATTGCTATGTCCATTTTTTATAGGGGAGTAAAAAGCATCTTAAAGCTATTAACACTTAAGTCGAAACTATTTTAAGTTAGTACATAATCAAGTTATTCACACGGCGGTGGAGCATCGGGCCCTGAGTTTTCAAACAGACCGATCTTTCCGAAAATTAAGGTGGAAGATAAAAATTATAATACTTGCTAAGTTGATAAACTTGATTACTGAATATTCAAAATTTTATTTTTGATATATTGTAAAGAAAATCGATATATCTTTACATTTCACATATATATGTATTTACAACAATGTTTTTTTCTAACTAGACTACTAGAAGTAAATTTTAAGAGGCACTTAGTTAAATTTAAGTTGCAATTTTATAGTTTCAACCTTAAAGGAACATAATTTAAGCGGTAAAAGTTATAGGCTTTCAACCTACTCACATCAGGTGTGGCTGATTCGCCGCTATTTCAACTTCACAGGGTGGTTGTTATTATGAATTCTATAAATTATTTGGAATTCTTTTATAGTTCTAGGCACGCACTTCCTAAACTACACTTTGTTATTATTATTGTAGCGTAATAATATTTACTTTTGGCAATGAAGCATGAATCCCGCACCAAGTAAAGATTTCGCATCGTATCGTGGAATGTGTGGCGTTATGGTGGCTAAAAATAATACCCCACGATTTTAGTTTAGTCTGATCAATGCTATATATTGACGAGGAGAGGGGTTTGATATCTGGTACCTGGTACCTACCTAAATATTTTTTTAGCTTTTGGTACATTATCTGCATCGTTATTACTATTTACGCCCACAAGAGCTGAGGGCGTGGTAGTATTTCGACATTTAGAATTGCTACCACTTTTGGCCGCAGTTTCTATGGGAACGTCGTACTGTGGACGAAATCCCACTCAAGGCATACAATTATTGTTCAGCTCATAGTTAGGATTGGTGGAATATTTCCTACCGGGTCTTGGCCGTATATGCTTGCGAGTGTGTGTGTGTATGAGAGATTTGTGAAATGAACACTATTAAACGATTTACACCAACAAAACTCAAATTCAAACTATCTTCGGCTAAACGAGTAAATGCCGTGTTGTTCTGGTGCTTTTTTGTGTATTTTTTCTTAATGGAAATTTCAAAATTATAAATTGTGTGCACTTGTTTGTTAATGCTGTAAATACGTGCGCTAAGAATTATAGATATATTTATTGAAAATCTCATGGTAAATTGTTGCTTCGCAGACACTCTCTTGTACAAACGAACACGTATAATCAACAAAAGCCAAAGCGACTAACAAAACAAAACAAAAAAAAACAGTGACAGTAAAGTCGGATCCAGTCAAGTACTTACATACCAGCAGTGCGTACAATGAAAGTAATAATGGTCAACTCATTCCGTTCAGCAAAAGCGAAGAGTTCACAAAGTTTAAAAAAGCTAAAAAGGTATAAAGAATGTTTAAGTGAAGTATAAACCTAAGCAAATTCATACGCAACAAAGGGCATTTCGGTGGTGAAACGCGCATTTGGCTAACCGGATGTCGTCCCTATTGCAGCAGCAATTGACTTTAGAAAAACGACTCAAAACAACATCTCATACGGCAGGTGCCGTGTTACCTCCCTCGCCGGCGCCATCACCTTCATCACTGCACGTGTCAATTTCCGTCACCCCGGCCGCTACAACCAACACGTTAACAGGTACGCTGTCCAATGTTTCTTCGCCTGCTAGTCCGGCGCCTTTAGATCAGGAGCAGCTTTACGCTGATACTGCGCCGATGACCGCAGTGAAGACATTGAATATTGGTGGGGCCGACTACGTTTCGCCAACTTCTGATGGCAGGAAAAATGCCAGTAACGGCAGCGGTGGAAATTGTGATACAGTCGACAACCAATCTGTCCATTCGACTGATCAGGCACTGATTTCGTTTCAGAATGGAGCCGTCGTTCGAGCACTGCACACTGCTTTAAATGACATGAACACTAACCATAATGTTGCAACAACACTCTCACTGCCGCTGTCCCCGGTTGGAACTTCGATCGCGGAAGTGGTGTCACCAGTGGCGCCCGGCTTGTATGGTTGTGGAAGCGCTGCGGGTACAAATAAATCGGAGTTTGTTGATAACAGCCTCACTTTTGCCTCGGATGCGACAGAGGTACGTGACCAGCCGTTCGTGCAATATGGCAGAATATTGGAGAAATATCCCCATAAACGGGAGTTCGCCGCTGAATTAATGCCTACTAAGCAGCACATTAAGCAACAGCAGCGAAAGGCGGCGCACACTGAAATGAAAACACGCAATGAATCTGAGTCCGCAGCATCCCCTCTCGAAAGCCCTAACCTTGATGTGAAAAGCGTTGGTGAAACTGAAGCTGCCGACGATGATAAGATTCCTTCGAACACAAACACGTATTTGCACAGCGAACTTTTGAATGATGCCCTACCGAAGGGTATGCTAAACCATTTGCCCTCATTATCAGATCCATGTTCAGACCCACGTTTGACGCAAACGCGAACTCCCTATGGCTGCTCGATCCCGCAGACGAATAGTAATCAGGCCGATGACTCTGTTAGTCAGCACTTACCTTCGAATGATTTTATGGAGCCCGCAACAGCAGCGATAATGGACAAAGATCGTCAACTGCTGGCCCGGCTTTTCTCCACAGATTTAGTTATTCCAAAATGTTACCAGCGTCGGAACGCGGACGCCCCTCGAGTCCTATCAGACGTGAATCTCTCTTTTTCGACCACGCCTGCAGATGACACAGTTAGTAACGAAACAAATAGCAGACTTGAGCGCAATAACGGCGGATCAGACGGTGGGATCCGTTTGGAAAATCCTGTAACATCTAGTGAAATTTCGGCTTCATTAAGCAGTTATTTGCGACCCATAGAGCCAACAACTGAGCTCTCGAAACAACCATCGGTGTCCAGTGCAGCATTTACGTTATTAACGGAAATACTTTTGAGGCACCACGACCATCAGCAACTGCAGGTACTCTCGGCCGCAGCTAACGCGTCTGGTGTGGCGCCGAATTTGCAAATGGATACCGCCTTCAACAAAAACAAAACGTCAGTAGCAGAACAGCCGCAGACGCATCTTCATGTGCAACCACTACCGATACCCTTACAACTGCCGATCCCTTTGTCTTTGTCTCTGCCACTACCGCTGCCGCTACTACCGATCATCAACACTAGTAGCAATGCACATGCACAGAACCCTTCCTACAATCTTCCGCCATTTCTGTATGGAGGCATCTCAGGCAGCGAATGCAAAGAGCCTATATATTTAAAGCAGCCTCTTCAACAAACGTTGCACGAACCACAAGCGTCTGATGAACAATTGCAAAAGCAACAGAGATCGAGCCAGTTGTTAGCCACGCAAATTTTATGCTCACGGCTGCTGCGCGCCAATGCGCCAGCGCTGTCAGAACACTTACGTGAACGCGAGCTACACTTTATAGACTATGCGTCAAGCGGCCCGAAAATGGGCTTCCAACCAGACAGTGCGCTACCGAGGACGCACTATAGCAACAACAATCGGCATCATGTAGCGAATAACAGCGAGGGAAACAACAATAGTAACGCTTCCCATCACACGATGAACTGTGATCAGCCAGAAAACAGACCAAATCATCACTCAGCGTCGTCAGATTTACTCTCCGAAATCGGTAGTGATGATCCCTACAATCACACTGCGGCCACCTCAAATATAGCTACCGCCACTACCAGCACAAAACTAAGCTTCGAAGAGTTACTGTCTGCTCAAGAAGTGTCGCTATCACAAGCTCAAATGCACCTCGATCAGTTTCTAGCACAGAGCATGAACTTTGTTGAGCTGACGGCGCCGAACTCCTCGACTTCTGTCAAGAGATTGTCACGCGTCGTTCCGCTAGTCAAAGTGAATATGCAGCAACGGAAACAACTAATCGACTGCATTCAAGTACAGATCAACCAATTAAAGCGACAATGCGCCAGTGCAAAGCTTTATTATGAACGCGGCATGTGTCGACTGCAATCATCCGAAGCGCTAACGCAGCAGCGGCAATGCCCGTCCAGTTTTGTGGCTCATAAGATTGCAACATCAGCGGCAGTAGCAGCAATGTCAGCAGCCGTCGAAACGCATCCACTTCCGCCCCTCGCGTACATCAAGACTGAGCTTATGCACAAGGAAGACTGCGAAGGGGCTAACAGGGAGGCAGCAGATGTCAAGGAATATAACAAACAGTCTAGCATGAAGTTAGGACGCTCGTTGGTGGAAATAGAGAACGAGATAGAGCAATACGTCCAAGCCTTATGTAAAAATAATGGCAATGACAGCGCAGTTGAGAAAGACAACCATGATACAGAAAGCAAAAACAATTTGGAACTTGATGAAGGTCTCACTTGCGGTGCCAACCACAAAGAGGACAAAGAGCTCGGGTACAGTAGTGAAAAATGGCGCGAGGAAATGAGCGGAAATTCTATACCAACTGGCGGGGATGTCAGCAGATGTCTCACACCAGCGTCACCCATCTGTTTTTGGCACCCAGAAAATCGCGGCCATTGCGTGAATGACAGCTCCTTAACCGTTGCCGAAATAATCCTGGAATGTGCTGCTCTGACCGTACAAGCGAGCATGCGCGATTCCGGCTTTTCCGTGAATTCTCTCTCCACGTCACGAAACTGTGCACAACCACAAAACCGCAATGTAGAGTTAAATTCAGCAGTTGGTGGACAGTCTCAACACTCCTTTGGGACTGCTCCCGCAGCAGGAAACTCAAACTCTGACTTAACATCACAATTTGATTCCTGTAATGTTGCCGATGCCACTAAAGGCAACGCTGAAAAAAGTTTATCTTCGCTGGTGTTGGGTATGACGGCGCCAACGCCTGTTATCTCACCAATGCCCGTGAATACATCTACTTCCACACCGACGCTGGTATCGTCGTCGACGCCAACCACTACGCCTACTCCTCCGCTGACTGCGAATGGTTTAGCGGCGGCTGCAAAAAGTCGGCGCAAATCAAACTATGCGCACCGCATTGAAACAATTGGTACCCAACCTGCAGCGCCCAAACACGTCGCTAAAACTTACCGCTTCTATGAACAACAAAATTCGCATAATCTCAGACAGTGCTACAACAGTAACGGCAGTGGCAGTAGTACCTCTGTCAGAGATGGAGCCAATGACGGCAAAAACTATCAGGATGAGAAATCCGGCAAGCAGCGTGAAGGCGGACTGACGAATCATTCTACAGAGGCGACGGCAGCAACGTCGGCAGCGTCCGAAGCGACCCTTGGCCACCAAAATAGCCACCAGCAACAACAGTATGCCCTCCAACAGCAGCAGGACCATCATCATCATCAAACTCAATTTAATGTTACCAACAACAGCAAAAATAACAACAACTGCAGCAACAGTGCATATGGCATACATGCTGCAGGGAGCAATACGCCAAACGTGAGTGCAACAGCTGCAGCCACGGTTGTGGCTCTTCAGGAGCGAGCCTTCACCGATATCTTCAAAGCGCGCTTCAACGCACTCACCGCAGCGGCTGTCATGAATGCCACCGTCGGTATATCAGCCGCCGCTGCCGCCGCTGCAGCAGCGAACACAACAACTGCGCCAGATGGACCTTATGACTTAAGCATCAGCGGAAAAGTCAAGAAAACGTAATTTTTCGTTTAACTTTTTCAGAGTGGTCCTTTTTTATAGCGGAGAAAAATTACACCGTACGACATTCCAAAATGTCTGCGAAGTGATATTATTTTTCTTGTAGGTCTTATCTAGTAAAAAAAGAATCGAAATATAAAACATTCCAAACGTTCCCAAAATCTCGAGTTACGGTTAAAAAAAACCAGTCTTTCGTACCCTTTCGCACTTAGATGGCTGTAAATTAGTTGGCTTTCAGCCGATTTTCAGTTTTCACCGGTTTAAGACAATACCTACAAGAAAATTAACATCACCTCCCAGATATTTCTACTGCATTATTTTTTGTAGCAATGTGTTACTAATGCGCCAACCCACGGAACAGGTTTCTATTACTAATCTTTTCGAGTTTACACTTCGGTGGAGGAAGTTTGAAAGCTACCGACTTAAACCCTAACCTACACCGCCCTAGCGTAAGTTCCATTTCTGGTACCGCTGTACAGAATTACTTCAGATACAGGAATGCGCTGATAGCGTGTTTTCAAGTGGTGTATTTCTCAATAGAGAACCACCTTCACCTTTGCAAAGAGCATAAGTTTTGTATAATTCGCTACCACATCGCAATCTTTGGTACAGGCGATACGATGATTTCCATCATGCAAAGAAATGCACCAATATAGCCGTAACGTGTGGAAAGCTGGGTAAGGCATAGGAAAAAGAACACATACTTAACCATGCCTTAAGATCATCTATCAAAGGAACATCTATCGACATGTGGTCTTTGCGTTCCATTTCTGCTATCTTTACTGGAGGGACAACCCTACATGCTTCTATCGCCGCGCCGAACTCGAAACGCGAAAGCGACTATATTACATAGTGTTCCTAAGATCTGCAGCCGGATTCCAACAATTGCTATCGCTAATTTTGATCGCCAAAAATCTCTAAAATAATAGCACGCGACCCTAAAAACACGCAACATATAGTTGCATGTTCACCACACTGCCAGATTTGACTGATTACGCATTGCATTTGTTACACTTCCATGTTGTATACTTTTAGGCCCACTGCTTTTCATTTCGAGAATTTTAGCGGCGAAAATTTAGCGTAGCGATTGTCAGAATTTCACTGCTGGGCTATTTACAAGTATTAGGGCTGCTCCATCAGGTATTCGTTACCTTCTCTGAACTTACGTTGCTTCGTAGAAATGTTAACGCTGCTACACTGCAAACAATTTGGAGGGTGTCACATTTGAGAATCTGGATAGAAACGCTAATCGCTTTTCAAGGGTTGTGAGTCTATGAATTACTTATAATGACTTACTTAAAATACGTGTGCACATACTTTCGCTGCCAGTCCAAAAAATCAGTAGCCGTCCCTTCAAAAAATCCTTTCTTATCAAGATGGTACTTTAACATGCTGTGTCCTGTCAAGTAGCCAGTTATAGTCTTTAGGACAACCCGGCTAAGGTTCAGAAGTAATTCAGAGACCCATCGAAAATAAGTTAAACAATATACTATAATAAGTACAACCTTGGCGTAAAAAAGCGTAAAATTCAGCAGCCGAAAATCCTGTCTCGACCACTTTTTCGAGCAGAAGGTCAGCCATCCCATAAAAAGAACCAAACATTGCCTTATCAAATGCTACTCACTTTTCGCATACACAATTTCGAGATCTGAACCCCATTCCGAGTGAACTGGAAACCCTTCCTAGCACAATCCAACGTTATCGACAACACAGCCGCAGTGTTGATATGCTTTATAACAAGTCTATTCTGCACGTTACCGAAGATTTTGTGACCGGAATATTTTATTACCAAAAAATGTTACCACTTCTTGCCACCGCGATTCTAGGTACGTTGGTAATGCAGTGAAAATATTCAGCAATTCAGCTATGAAGATTTGTGGAAATTCCTGTATTGCATATTTCACAAGGCAATATTTTGTTACCAGCTTATGAGATGTTAACCAAATTTACCGATCACAAGAGAGCACAGAATGCGAAAAAGGTTTAAAAATTTACAGACACTTTAATTACCGGTTACAAAATTTATGTTACCAGCGCAGAATAGACCTGTAAGACTAGATTAGATGTATTACCGCTCATACTTCGTCGAAAATTTCCAACTAATTTTATGTTGTTTATGCTTTTTTTCGTTTTCAGAAACTTGGATACGAAAATATCCGCAGGCAATCCCCAGGGAAACGAGTGCAAAGACAACACTAACGAGAAGAAGAAACCGCATATCAAAAAGCCACTTAATGCGTTCATGCTCTACATGAAGGAAATGCGCGCCAAGGTGGTCGCCGAGTGTACATTGAAAGAGTCAGCGGCGATAAATCAAATACTTGGTCGAAGGGTAAGTCGGATATGTCCGTAACCGTGCAAATCAATTTGCGCAAACTATAACGCGAATACTTCAAGCAATATTAATAAATATATTTTTACTCAGAGCAGCAAAATTATCGCTAAACACAAATACCTCAGCAGAGAGCATTATCCAGCTCTGATGGCATTAAAAAAAATCGTTTCACTTTCGTATAATTTAAATCTTGCATACTGAATGCCTATATATATATGTTCAAAAACCAAAAACGGGTAAGGAGTGTTTGAGGAACGTAGTTTTGTGAATTAAGGGAATTTTTGTAAAGTTTAGGAGAAATGTAAAGTACTTCAAGAGTTGTGCCTCGCATAATAAGCGTGATTTGGAAAATAAAAGTTTGCGCAAACGCATCACAAAACTCTGAGTCGAGTCATGGCCAAAGGAATTTAATCCATCAAGCTGATAAGCAATCGACATGCCTAATATTTGCATTCGGAGATTCAAAGTTTTTTTCCTCCTGCTCCGTTTACCGAAATGCGTCAAACACTGCTTTGTTATGATTCGTTTATTTCAAACTTTCGTACTTTGGAAATAGCTAGAAGCTTCTTAAAATTTTAGGTTGGTAATAGCAAAAATATGGTTCATTATAATCTAAAACCAATCTGTGTGTAAGATGACAATTTTTGGTCAATATCTTATGCTCGCCCATGTCTATCAAAGTTCAATGTGCTCAAAAAAATAAATACATTAATTAATACATTTTTTTTGTTTTTTTGTTATTTTATGGCCTTACAACAATTATGTTCAACAATTTTTATTGAGCTTGAGGCCGTTTTTAGTGAAAAACTTATTGTGGAAAAGCAACAGTTATTTGAAAAAATGGTGGAAGTGATAGCTATTTCGGAAATCACCACATTTCCTCATCAGATTTCTCTCAGTAGGATTCGAACCGACGATCCCACTGACTCAGCCAGTTGCCTACGCACTGTGCTAAGTTCGCCTTGTGAATTCCACTATTTCATTTGTTAAGCCAACTACAATCAAACGCAGCTATTCCAGTGCTATTTAAACTTGATCATGTGGCGAAAGAAGTCTGATGAGCAAATGTGGCGATTTCCGAAATAGCTATCACTTCTACCATTTTTTCAAATAATTGTTACTTTTCCACAATAAGTTTTTCATCAAAAACGGCCTCAAGCTCAATAAAAATTGTTGAATATAAATTTTTGTTACTGAAATTGCAAGTATCTTCGAAAGTATTAGTCCTACAAAATTTGGTATATGGACCTTTTTTGTATAGAATCGAAGTAAGCTAAGAAAACATGTTTTCAGCACTTGAACTTTGATGTACTTGGGCCAGCCTAGGATGTTGACCCGAAGTTGTCATCTTTCACACAGATTGTTTTTAGAGCATTATGACAAATATTTTTCCTATTACCAATCACAATTCTAAAAAAAGCAGTTTTTCGGCCAACGCTATTGGACACTGTACAATTAGATATGGGAATTGCGGTTAATACGCAAAACCCTTTCAAAGACGATTGTTAGAGCACAGTCTCAATACCGCAAATAAAACTTTGTATAAAATGTTCCAAGGTTGGGGCGTAACCGAAATGTTACAGACCTTCTCGTCCTATCCGGAACTGTAAGGTTGACTTCAGTCCTCAGAATAATTGGTCCCTTGTGCGGGTGCTAAGAGAAATGTGTTTAGTTATCGCTATACGGTGAGAACAACTCCTGCGAAATAATAGCAATAATGAAGTGTCAAGTTGACGCGAGAGCTCAAACATAAGGAACTAACTTGTAGTCGTTACTACGGCGAACAGTGCGGTATTTGGGAGATTTAGGGGAGGGAAAATCATATCGGCCACAATTTCGACTCTATGAATTTTAATCTTTGCGTTATGCGCTTCAAATGGACTGCATAGTAACGGTTTGAAAGGATGTACATGATTTCATGTGCATACAGGGTGTCCTAGACCACCTGTCCACCCTCTTAAATTGGAGGGAATATTTTTCATTGAATAACGCAAAAACATGACATACCAAGTCGGGGATGATCTATCTTTTTGTGGTATTACCGACTTGCGGTTTAAACCGGAAGTATTTTTTTTAATTAAACGTACATGGTTTCGCTACTTTTTTCTCGGAAAAGCCCTTTTCAACTTCTAAATGTCCTTCGAACTTCATCTGGTCCTGAACTGCTTAAATGGGTGAACATTTTTTCATTGGAAAACGAAAAAAATATGAATTAACAAGTTGAGGGTGCTCTATATTTTGGTCGTATTACCGACTTTCTTGCACGGAAAAAAACTGACCGGAAGCTCTTTTTTTTAAATAGGACATATGTACATGTTTTTCTGTCAGATTCGGATTCTGCAGACAGAAACTTTTTTTTGGAATGGACTCCGGGTTAAAATGATGTACTTTCGGTCCGTCTAACCCACGAAGAAGATAATACGACCCAAAGATAGAGCAGCGCCAGCATGGTAATTCGTATTTCTTCACTTTTCAATAAAAACATTTTCACTCATTTACAGGTCTATTATGCGCTGGTAATAAAAATTTTTTAACCGGTAAATAAAATTCCTGTCAATTTTTTAACTCTTTTCGCATTCTGTGTACTCTTGTAACCATCCCATAAGCTGGTTAAAAAGTATTGCCCCGTGAAATACGAAATGTCAGAATTTCCGCAATTCTTCATAGCTGAATTGCTAAATATTTTAACTGCATTACCAACGTACCTAGGATCGCGGTGACAGAACTGGTAACATTTTTTGTTAATAAAATTTTCCGGTTACATAATCTTCGGTAACGTGCAGAATATACCTGTTAATAAGTCCACGTGTTGAAGTTCGATGTTCATTTCAGACAAAAGTTACGTATTTTTATTATTATTATTATTACCTTCCTTTTATTAGCTCGGGATGTAACTATGTAATATTGATGCGCCTAAAAGATGCAGCGATTTCTATTCTCAAGTTACATACCTGATGACAGTACGAATGGCAATTATAATAGGGAGGTTTTAGTTTTTTAAACTATAATCTTATTATCCTCAGAATCCGAATTTGTATTAAAAACATGTACATATGTCTAATTTGAAAAAAAAATTACTTCCGGTCGGTTTAACCCACTTCCGGTGGAAACCAGAGGTCGGTAATACCACCAGAAATAAGGGCATCTCCGATTTATATAATATTTTTGCATTTTTCAACAAAAAGCATTTCCCTCAATTTTATAGGGGTGGTCTAGGTTTATTTTATATGGGCATTTCCAGAGGTAGATCTCTATAGTCAGAATTTAAAAGTGTTACATAGATATATTTTAGTTATGGCCCAATCTGATTTATTTGTTCAATGTACATACATATGTATTATATATTGGCTGCATATGCAGGAATATTTTTGCAAAATATTGTCTGCTATGTGGCGCCGGGTCGAGATATTTTGAAAACCCGTATATTTGCACCGATTTAGTTAAAATATGCGATATGTATTAGATACATAGTAAGAAATATAGTCAAAAAATGGGCCGCTTGATGGCGCTTTAGTGGAAATATTGTCTGATATCATTTGATTTCTGATATCTTGACACCATTTTTTTAGGCACGTTTGTAATGACAGCCGTGCCATCAGTGTGTATGCAATAACTTTTACGAAAATGAAACGTATTTACAAAAAAAGTCGTATGCGCGATAGAAATTAAATTTTTTCACTCTATTCAATTCTGTAACTTTCGGTTTTTAACTGAATTAAAATCAATAGCTGAAGGCTGTGCCCTATTTGCAATTCCGAGAGAAATACATACACTGTGGTACAATTTTTTGGATTTGTTTTAGAAGTTCGTGTGTACTGTGCCGGCATTAAGTATTAATTCGTGGTATGTAAACCTCAAAAGTATTTTGTTTCGCCTCTAACATTTTTTCTACAGTGGGTTAAAGTTTCCCCTTTTTATATATGCTGTCTTCAAAGATAATTAATTCTTCAAAGACCTATTTAAAAATTTAGGAAGCAATTTTTCGAATAACTTAAGTAACTCATAGCGTATTTTTGTATCTTATTTGGTGGGACGTCCATGTAAGTTCTTGAAAATGACAGTAAGAGGGGATGCACTATATATCCGATTAAGCATTAGTTTGCTATGGGTCTTTATCTAAACATAAGGAATCACCATTTTAAAGTCATATGAGTGTAAATTAAGAAGAAATGTACAATATAAATCGGTTCTTGTCTTCAGAGTTTGTATGTAGTCAAATTTAGCGTGCATTTTTATTGTAAAATTTTGTCTCCATTTAACTTTGTCCTTTCATGAAGAATTTTAATTTAAAAATAGCACTACCCCAAATTTAAATAAAGACCTATAGCTACGGTGACCATCTGTCATTTCGTTTTCAGTCCTTTACAGAAAGTCCTTCATTTTATCCCTGGGTGATTTGCTATAAACGATTTTCGGCAGAGAGATCTGTCCTTTATAATTTTTTCTAGATAAAGTACGTCCTTTTGCAAACGTTAATTTTTGAACAGAGAATATCAATAATTAAAATGACCCTCACAAAATCGAATAAAAACTGTCGCTAGGTTGTTTCGCACCAGACCTAAGAGTTTTTATTTAATCGTCTATCTTTGAACAAGTTGTAATTCTGATGTCTTCCTATTTTTATTAAATTCCCAAAACTGCGGGAAAATTGTGCTCAAAGTTCGTATTGTACGACTGGTTTGAAACCCGTTTGTTCCACTGGAAAAGAACAATATACCTTGGGTGACATCACCTATGTATATGGCTATATCTTAAGGTTATGCGCTTGGAATGTTAGGATTCGAAAACACTAAACTTCCCACCTCAATCTTCAAGGACGAAAAGACAAAGTATCTTCTGCCTTCAAGCACACAGTAAGCGTACTCGCGTTTCGGCACTCACGTCGCTATTGACGTTTTCGATTTCGCAAAGTAGAGGACTTAGATTAACAATAATGTCAGCCTTCAACGGAGAATTTGGAGTTAGTAGGCAATTCAAAAGGAAAGTCTTCCCTCATCGAACAAAATCTCATAAGAATGAGACTTATTCATTTCTGTCCCAATAACAAGCGCATGGACCTAGGAGTTTCTGTAGAAGTGTTTCGGTCGAATTGACAATAGCTGTACAAGATTTGCATACACATAATTGCATGGTTGAAACTACCCCGGCCTCGTTGCTTTCGTCATGTAATACGAATCATGGTAAACTCGCCTGCCCAAAAAAATTAAATTCGAAACGCATTAGCGGCAGCTGAGGACGAGAAAGTCCTTTGGAATGGGTTAAAATCCAGTCACAGCTCCAGTCAAGAAAACGAACTTGTTCAATTAAATAATATCCTAAATCCGTTAATATTTTATCTAAATGATGGTATGGGTAAGTTACGCATATGTAAGTAAAAAAATTTATTTGAAAAAATACCTTTATTTCGGGGTTTGACTACGGATATTAACGTTTGGGAATTATTACGATGAGGCTCTAAAACAAAATCTTATAATTGTTCTACAGTGTAACCGAAGGCTGCACCCTATTTGTAAATCGTAAAAAATGCCGAAAGTTATTTCTTCATTTAATGTATTTTTGTATTCCAATTTGTATTTTGTATGAAAGTCAATAAAATAGACGTTTTGTTTTGCAACTTTGTTTTTTCTTTTATTTTCATTGGACTATATAACATTGAAAACAATTGGAAAATATGTATACTTTTTTTTAAATTAAAAGCGAAGGAATTTTCATATGCTGTAAATTAAATATATTGATTAGCTAGCACTTAACAGCCCCCAGAAAAAAAGCCTACTTACGTAGGGAAAGCAAGCGTTTAGTACGGCTAGAGCTCATGAAACACACAAACACGCGCACACTCTCATTCGCGTAAACAACTTGCGGAAGCGTTGTTCACGTTCAAGTATGAAAATTTGTTTTTTTTTTTTACTGAAATCAACAATTTATTCATTCAACTTGATTTTCGAAATTCAACAGGCACATGAAATATCAAATATCAAAATTGAAAAGTTTTTTTTTGTTCCCTTTTTTGTTTTTATTTTCCGTTTCAAACGAATTCGACGACATTTGGCTTTGGTTGGATCCACACTTATCACATCTAACACCATAAATAACCACATACTACTACCATGTATCTTCGCCCAATCGCCGTGATCTCAAATTCTGTATCTAGTGGCATGAGCTTAGCCGTGAGGAACAAAGTAAATATTACGAAAAAGCGCGGCAAGAGCGACAGTTGCACATGGAATTATATCCAGGGTGGAGCGCCCGGGACAACTACGGTTATGTTTCGAAAAAGAAAAAGCGCAAAAAAGACCGATCGCCCGCGGATTCGGGAGGTATTGCTATAACAGTTAAATTTTATATGTCAAACCCCCCCCAAAAAAAATATACATATGTATAATTTTTTTTTTTTTTTTTTCCACTAATTTCACTTGCACCTAATTAATACTATCTACTTACATACTTTATAATTGACATTCGTTTAACTAACTATTTTCTTCATAATTTTAGTTCAGTTTTTTTGTTTATTTAGCAAAGCATTTAATACATACTTCTTTAAAAATAACCTAGCGGTATGATAACGCACAATATAACGAAGAGTATTGTATTAGCAAGTGGATATGTTTTCCAGTAACTATATGTTAAATTTGTATTCATTCGTACTCGTATGCTTACGTCTGGTATCTTCAAACGCAGTGGGATTTTTAGTCTAAAGACGACAAGACAATATCTCTTTCTCTCTGTCTGTCTGAAAAAATACTCTAACTTTAACAAATGCATTTCTATTGCTTTGAAAGAGTCTCACTCCTTGTCTCCGTGAGTGATCCATCAAGCCTCTCGAGTGCACGAAGCTTAGTTTTTTGGTATTTTTTTAAGACATTCACCAGCTGTTTGGCCCAAGGTATCAATACCACTGCAGTATACTTTGAATAGAACCTTTTACGAAGAACGAACATCCTTTGAGTATAGCGTTAGCCTTCCAGTCTCCCAGCATTAGTTTTCAGGGCCCGGTTTAATGATTTTTTCAAATTGCTCCTCAACTTCTGAAGCTTCTTATTCCACTAGGCTACAAATGAACGTGGCGGCCAAACAGGCACGAAAGGTATCCGATACATTAACCACCGCCTCATCAATGACCTGAGTGGATCGAATTATAGATGACGCCACATATAACTACAGCCAGCCCTCTTTCTTCGCTTTGGCGCGGAGCATATAGCATAAGTTGAACTATGCTGAAATTCAATATACATATGTACTTGATATGGGCGCGGGACTAATTTTTTCGGCCCGGCCTGGCACGAAAGCAAAATCACATTCGAAAACCCACACGAACACGCATAGAGAAAAAGTCAGTGAAATAAATTATAAAATAAGGGTATTCATCAAATGTTATAAATGCATTATGAACCGTATAAACTTTTAATTGTGTACACCTTAAAAATTACCTGTCAAAATTTGTATGGAAACTCGTTTACACATTTCTGATAAATTTCTCCAGCGATTTCACTGAATAAACTTGATGAACCGAAGCCAATGCAACTCTGTCGCAACTCTAGCTATGTTTTCTTGGGCAATAATCGGGATCCGCATAAAAATTTTGCACGCAAATTCAACAACAATGTTTTGACCCTGATAGAGATCTGGGTCAATTTATTATCCGTTCTGTTTGTTTTGTTTCACTGATAATTTGGCCCCACAGTTTGGTTGCAGTGAGAAATGAATTCATACACAAACAGACATTTTGCCATTGTTTCTATTAACTGGCTTCAAATAAATCGCCTTTATGTTAAGTATTTATTTAAATCGTCTAAATATAATTTTTTCCCATTTAGTGAGGTCATTTCTAAAATTTCTTAATCCTCGTGCTAGTAGTATAAAATTATTGATACTGAGCTCGACAAATAAAGAAAACACGACTATTGTCCCAAGTGTAAACGAATGGAGAGTATGGGGCGTTCATGTAACAGAGTGTATAAGTTTATAAGATATCTGCTTGACAGTTATCGGTTTAGATGAATACCACTTATGATTTATCTGATTCACAAAATATTATCTCCAACGAAAAAATGTAGCAGTCGTATGACCTGAATTTTATGTTTTTACAAACCCGAAAAATTGTCTAAATAAGTTAGAGTATTATAAATATACGCCTATTTCATCTTTTGTTAAGTATTTTACCCGCCAACGAAAATATGTACCTGCTCCCTCGTTCAAGGGGTTACAACAATCTTCTATATATCAAACACCTTCCTACGTTGTTACTATGGTTATTAGCAATCAATGTGTAAACAAATTTTTTTTCTACCGCAATTTTTTGTCGAGTTTAAACTTGCAAATTCCCGCTCTTTTTCTTAGAGACACAAGTCATAAAAATGTAAAATTTCTGACCTCTTAGAACTTTTTCCATGTTTTTTGGTGGAAACTAGAATTTTTTGCAAAAAAAAAATCCGACTAAAAATTGTATTGCATTCTTTAAGCAATGTACATTTCTCTCGTAAAATTTCTTGATAGGCTAGTCCGATCTAATTAACTCTAGTGCAAATAAAACAAAATTTATTCCACTATTACATCCCAACGTTTCTCTAAATTTATTAGCATCATTAGGGGAGCGTTGTGTTTATTTTTGTGGTATTAACATTTAAACATTTTAACTTAATTTCTAAAAATCAAATACCATCTTGTCTGTTAGTTTAACCAGGCTTGACTACAAAAATAAACACAACGCGCCCCTGTTTAAAGAATGCATTAAACGTATTTCCAAAGCAAATTTGTTTGAAAAACTTCTTTTGGAAAGTATTATAGTTTCCACCAAAAAGCACCAAAAAAGTTCTAATAGGTCGGAAATTTTTGATTTTGATGACTTGTGACTCTAAGAAAAAGGGCTTAAATTTGCATGTTTAAAGTCGTATAACTCAACAACAAACCACGGTAGAACAAAATTCTTTTACACAATGGTTACTAGTAACAAAATAATGGAGTTTGGACAAAAAGCTGACGTAAATTTTTTCTGGTACACTTGGGTACGCCATTTGTGCATATTATTAGCTACATACCGATTTGTACATATTCTTAGCTACGGAAAACTTGTAAGAATTTAAAGTCATTTGACACTTGGCAAAACCCTAAACCTGGCTAATTCAGGACGCGAAGTGGTTTCTAAGAAATATCTTAATCTCAACATAAATTTCGTCTTTTTTCACCCTTATAATTTATATGAGCTTTCCGTGCTTTTTTGGATTTTCACCGCATGCCAATGCACGCTCGACCTCGTGCCAGACCCATATCTAATTAAAAATGGCATCAAGGAGAAACCAACGCAAATCTTCGCTAAACATAGCCATATGTCTTTCACCTCTTCAAAAAAGGGCCAAACTCTTCGCAATAACTTGTCTAAATGTGAAGGACTCATAACATCCGGTACTAGTTAATGGCAATTTGATAACTTTGATGAGTCACAGCACTTCATTGAACGATCGCAATCCCATGACCGCCATCCCCCCAAACACAAAAAGCTAGAGAAGATGATATAAAAATGCATTTATTTATTTATGCTTTTACTTTGTAATCAAATAGATAATTTTATCATAATAATTATTTGGGCATTTTCTTTAATTGCTTGGAATTGGTAGAAATTATTGGTAGAAAATATTTGTTCCTGCTAAATTTATGTATCAAAATTAACATTTAATACACTAACGTATATTTATTTTCAAAATCATTGAGCTTACTAACAACTCTGCATGCGTTTGTAATTGAAATTAAAATTTTATCAGTAAAATACACATTAATTATGTTCAAGGGTGCGCATTTGAGTTAAGAGTAAATTAAAACTAGTTAAATAAAACAGCAGATAAAGAAGCGCGCGATTCAAAGTTTTGATCACAACGAAGAGATATACATATTAACAAATGGGCTTCAGCTAGGCAAAAAATAGTACATAAATACATATATATCAAAACGCTCCACGTCGACAAGCCCCAATTTTTTTTTGTTCCCGAAGCCTCACCGCATTCCGTGGTCCAAGCGGGAGTGGTGATAGTTTTTAATTTGATTTTATATGATGGAGTGGGGTCTTTGACCAAATCCGCCACTGTGAATGCGAAATATATGATCTCCCAAAGGCTACTGACTTTTTATTTTTTGATAGTAACTATGTAGATATATAATTTTCTAAAAAGTAGTTAATTTGTTTGAATTGTAAATGAGTTCGCGGACGAAGTGCATATGTATGTATTTGCGTCTTCAATAGAGAGCTGGTACTTAGTTGTCGCTGTGGCATTTGACACCTGGCTCAATGGACAGACGGCGGGATTTAAAAAAATGTGCTCGAATAATCATTCCCAAGTCACTTGAAAAAGTTGAGGTCACTTTAGTTAGGCTCATTAAAACGATCTTTAATGAAAACCATCCAGAATAGAGTACGTGATTTGAGGGCAGAGGATGGGATGGCACAAATTATGTATTACTACCCAATATTCAAAGAGCGTTCCTTTGATTCCGATGGTAGAAATTTTAACCCAAATCTGGAGATACTTTAATAAATTCATGCACTGAGGATTCCAGTATATACACACCTCCTTCTTCAAATTATGTGTGCAAAGTTTTATGCCCTTCTATATATTTTTTCTTCTCATCCAGCTGACGGCTTCAAATAAGACTTGAGAAAATTCACGAACGGTGAAAACATGCATAAAACTAAAATAAAATTACATTACAAAAGTATAAAATCAAATAAAACAAAATAGAATACAATACAAGAAAAGAGGATTTAAAATTAAATTAAATAAGATAAAATATTTAAACTAAAAGGAAATAAATTAAGCTAAGTTAAGTTAAGTTTTTATTTGTTAACGGACGTTGGAGTAGCGCAAGTGGTAGAGCTGACAAGCTACCGATAGTGGCTCCTTTCGATGTTTAGAGAGGAAAATTCAATACTATCGATAGTATCGTTCATGGCGGTGAAGTAGTTAGAGCAAGAAAACAAAAGAAAAACAAAACCAAAAAAATGCACTTAAAGGCTAAACATAACCACTTAATCTATTCTTATTTTCTTGTAATTTTTTCTGATGTGTACGTAATAAAAAAGCTCTATACTATCGATAGCGGATAAAAAACCATCGATAGTAACGCAAAAAAACATTCGATGTATCGATAGTGCAATCGATAGTTTATCAGCTCTACCAAGTGGACCGTATGAAACCTCCGACTTCCACATTCCGTTACCGCTTTCGCATTTCATCACAGTATAGTCGTTTCGCGACCTATTTCTGTCTATTCTGCTTAATATTTGGCTCTCCTGCGTTTGCTTCGATTGTTAGAGACTGGGAAAGTACAG